CTCAGCCCCGACCCACCAGTTAGCACTCGGTCCTCGACCCCCGGCCCTACGTCCGATCCTCAGCACCGACCCACCCTCAGCACCCCGTCCTCGCCCCCCGACCCACCGCTTAGTACCCAGCCTTCGGCCCAGACCCACCTATGGTCCTCAGTGCCCGACCCCCACCTCCAGATCTCTCATCTCTGGACCCTCTGTCTCGCGTCCCTCCTCTCCCTGGCGCCCCCACCCCTTTAACTAGGAGCTCCCCGCTCCTTCTCCGCATGGGTCAGGGGGCCCGAGTACCTGGGTGCCGGAGCCGCCGGGTCGGGAAACTTTGTCTCCCAGAGGCGGGCGGAGCTGGAGTGTTTTATGGAAGCGGGGGCGGGGCCGGGCGGGGCCGAGGGCCTCGAGAAGCCGCGGAGGAAGTGGCGAGTCCCGGAGGACGGTTCCGGGCCCGGGGCCCTGCTGTTCCTTCTCGCTCCTGTGCCGGTTCTCCCGTGGGAGCAGCAGACCCTGGGCCGGGGCAGCACCGAGGACGGGCGCGGGCGTGGGGCGGCAGGAGTGGCCCGTCCAGTATGCCCGCCAGGCTCAGCTCTGCGGGCCCAGTCGCTTGTGCCCCCTCACCGAGCTCCTCTTACTCCCGGTGAGGCTCGCGGACTCGGGCGGCTAACCCGGGAGGGGACAGTGGCATAAACCAGAGACTCCACAGGGACACCAAACCAGACCCAAACAGACCCAGGCAATTCTCTCGGCGCATAAAATGGGTGATGGGAGGCGGGCAAGGGCGTCACCTGGACGTTTGGATTCTTAATGAAAATTGTCCAGACAAATACTCCAGCAGGTAAAACACTTTGAAAGGAATTCCTGGTGCCCCCTCATTAGGGGAAATGCTGATGACCCACGAGGTCCCGCCTGGGATGGCCCTCAAGCGCGAGCGGAGGGGCTCTGTCCCCCACCCCGCCTTACTCTGATCCTCGCTTCCCCCCGTCCCCCCAGCCTCAGGCTCATGCACCAAACCTCGGGCCTCGGGTCCCCGCGGACTTGCCAACGCCCCCACTCCCACCCCAGCACTACAAGTCGCAATCCTGTCCCTGGGCCCGGTCCCTCCACGCGCAACCCCCGGTGCTTTTACTGCCCCTCTGTGCCCCACATTCAGACGGCTGGAGTGGGGTGTGACCCGCAGGAAGGTCTCCAAGACCACCCCACAGAAGCAAATCATCTTTGGGGGGTTGCAATGCCTCCTCAGCCCCCTACAGCCCGCGAGGAACCTCAGTGTGGTTCGGAGGGGAGATCAAAGCTTGGGGGCGTGACTGAGATCCCGGAGCCGAGCACTCCCCCACCCCTCCCCCGGGGCTGTGGTTAGACCAGGAGGGGAACTTCCTGCTGGCCCAGCTGGCTCAGGCCTCAGGAAGCCCTGCTAGACCCATCGCAGGTGGTTACGGGAAGCTGCACCAGCGCCGTCGGGTCTAGGGGGGGCCGCCCCGCGCGACCCCATTCCCGCCGCCTGTCCTCTGTCCCCCCGCCACCCAGTGCCCCTCCGGGACCGACCCCCACGCGCCTCAGCAGGAACTGTTGGGGTTCCAAAGTCTCGCTTTATTCTGCGCGATACTGGGGGAATGCCCACCCTCGGGGGCCCAGCCCTGCTGTGGGGCGGGGTAGCGCTAGATGTAGGTGGAGTTGGCGTCTGGCGCGTCGACGGGACCCCCGGCCGGGGCTGGGTCTGCGTCCTCGTCGCCGCCGCTCTCGCTGCCCGAGTCGCCGGCGCGGTCCGCGGTGGGCGCATTGAGGACGACCACGTCCGCCTCGGCCCCGATGTCCTCGCCGAACCACACGGCTTTGTAGCCTCCTTCGGGCCGCCGCTCCTTGGTCAGGATGGACCTCACGGCCGTGGGACTGCCCTCGACCCGGGCGGCCGCGGGGGACACGGGGCTGGGTGGCGAGTGGTTGGGGGGCGCGGGGGGCTCGTCCTCTGGGGCCGGGGGCGGGGCTTTGGCCGGGGCGGGGCCAGGAGGCGGGCGCCCACTCGGCCTCGTTGTCAGCTGTGAAGGCCTGGTTGTCAAAGCCACACGACTGCGGCTCCTGCGGGGCAAGGGCGTCGACCAGGTGCCGGTCAACCAGTGCGTTCAGGAGCTCGGCCGGGCTGATTCCCCTCCTGGGCCCTCCCGAGAGACTCTCTGGTCCTTTCCCTTCCCTCTGCTTCTCTCCTCTGCGTCTTTCTGACTTTGGTGCCTACATCCCAGCTTCCCCCACCTCTCCATCCCCCCATCTCTCCACCTCTTCCCCTTCTGCCCATCTCCCCCCGTCCCCACCCCTCCATCTCCCTGTCTCTCCCCACCCTGATCTCCCCATCTCTCCAGCTCTCTATCCCAGCTCTCCCAGCTGTCTCCTTTTCTGTCTCCATCTCTACCTCTGTCTCTCTCTCCATCTCTCCTCGTCTTTGTCCCTCCTGGCCCCCTCCTCTGTCCCTCCTCCACCCGCCGCCTGCCCCCTGCTCACCAGAGCTTTGCCAGAGCAATACTTGAGTCTGTGGCCGTAGTTCTTGTAGATGAGGACGGTGAGGGCCAAGAGGGCCAGCAGCAGGAGGGCGCCCAGCACCCCGCCAAGCACTGCCATCTCTGTCACCGAGAAGCGCCGGTCTTCGGCAAGGCCACCGCCTGGGTTACTGTCTCCTGCAGTGCTGCCTCCCTCTCCCCCAGGTCCCCCTGCCAACGACACCATCAGCCATTGTTACAGATTGAATTGTGTGCCTTCAAAATATATGTTGTAAATCCTAGCTTCTGTGCCTGTGGTTATAATCCCATTTAGGAATGGGTTGTCTTCGTTATGCTAATGAGGTAGGATTTGTGTAGGGTGTGTCTTGAGTCAATCTCTTTTGAGATATAAAAGATTAAACAAACAAGCCAGCAAGCAGAGATGGGAGACGATTGATGCCAAGCACATGGAGATCTCCAAGGAGCCAAGGCACAAGGACCTTCCCTAGAGATGACAGAGAGAAAGCCTTCCTCTAGAGCCAGCACCCTGAATTTGGACTTCTAGCCTCCTAAAATGTGAGACAATAAATTTGTTTGTTAAAGCCACCCATTTGTGGTATTTCTGTTATAGCAGCACTAGATGACTAAGACAGAATTTGGTACTGAAAGAGTAAGGTGCTGCTCTAACAAATAACCTAAAATGTGGAAGTGGTTTGGGAATTGGGTAATGGGTAGAGGCTGGACGGGTTTTAAGGTGCCTAGATTGCCTTGAAGGGACTGTTGGTAGAATTATGGATGTCAAAGATAATTCTGCTGAGGGCTCAGAAAAAAGCAAGGAGATCTATAGAGAAAGTCTCTGTTGTCTTAGAGAATTCATATGGCGCCAGCAAAGGAATGTTGCTAGAAATGTGGACATTAAATGTGCTTCTGGTGAGGCTTTAAAAGAAAATGATGAATATGTGATTGGACAATGGAGGAAGAGTGATGCTTTTTATGTGGTGGCAAAGAACGTGTCTGAATTATGTTCAAATGTTTGGTAGAAGGTAGAACTTTTAAGTGGTGAACTCGGATATCTGGCTGAGGAGATTTCTAAGCAAGATCTTAAAGGGGCCGCATGGTTTCTCCTTGCCACTTACAGTAAAACGTGAGAGGAAAAAGATGAACTATGCAAAATGAAAACAGAACTTGAAGATTTGGAAAATTCTGTTGTGCAAACTAAAGACATGGGTCCTAGAATGTTCACCAAGGACATGGCTACACAATCTTTTGTTAAAGAGATTAAGCCTGTGAGTGATGGATCTAACCACCTCCACAGCAGAAAACTCATCAGCTTAGACTGAAGGGGACAGAGAAAGAGCAAAAGGAAAGAAGTTGTCTGCCTCTTGGAATTCTACAGGCAGGAAACAGGCCAGAGGAGCTACATGTGTTGTCCTCCAAGAAAAGAAAAGGGCCATCTCTGGAGCAGCTTGGAGATCAGCAGAATTGTTGGAAGGAGCACAGGAAGCCAGGCCTTCTTGGTTCAAAGGGTGGGGCCACAGTCTCCTGGATCTCAAAGGGTGGGGCCATAGCCTCTTAGGTTTCAAAGAGTCAGATCCTTGCCTACTCAGTTCCAGGGTGTGGGCCTGCTGTTATGGTGTGCCGGGGGATGAGGCCACTGCCCAAAGCTGAAGGGGCAGGGCTGCCATGCCCAAGGGGCAGAAGAATGGAGCCTGCTGGGGCCAAGGGAGTGGGGTCATCACTCAGATGGACTAGGAGAGTGGGGCCGCCCAAAGCCAAGACAGCAGAGTTGCCATCCCAGTGGGCGAGGGGCCAAGTGAAGGGGGTGGGCCAGAGGCTCTGGAAAAGTGAAACCGCCAGGCCGCCAGAAAATGAAACCTAAAGACGTGGCAGGGCGTCCGGTCCTCTCCGCCCCCAGCCCGGGTCTCTGTGCTCAGCCCCGACCCCACCTGGTCCTCACGCCGATCCCACCTCCACTCCTCAGTCCCGACCCACCAGTTAGCACCCGGTCCTCGACCCCCGGCCCTACTTCCGATCCTCAGCACCGACCCACCCTCAGCACCCAGAATCCAGAGGGGCCTTCACCCAGAATCCAGAGCCTAGATCGTCTGAGAGAAGAAAGGATTATTTTCAAAACTTGAGAGCTAATGTAAATTGTTCTGCTGGGTTTTGAACTTACTTGGTGCCTGTTATCCCTTCTTTCCTTCCAACCTCTCCCATTTGAAATGGAAATGTCTAGCTTGTATCTGTTCCACCGTAGCATTCTGGAAGCACATAACTTGTACTCTAGATTTCACAGAGGAAGAGGAATTTTGCTCCAGGATGGAATGAACATGCCTGACGTCTCACCCCTATTTGACTTAAATGATTCGGAAGATGAGATTTTGAACTTGGAGTTGATTGAAGAGTTTTGGGATGATATGATGGGGTGAATGTGTTTTGCACGTGTCAAGGACATGAATTTTGGGGGGCTAACCAAAAGGTCAGCAATTCAAATCCACCAGCCACTCCTTAGAAACCCTATGGGCCAATTCTACTCTGTCCTATAGGGTCGCTATGAGTAGGCATCAACTCGACGGCAACAGCTTTGGTTTGGTTTGAACAGCAGAATGTTATGGATTGAACTGTGTCCCCCAAACATATGTATCGTAGATCCTCGCCTCTGTGCCTGCGTTGCAATCCCGGTTGGGAACGGGTTGTCTTTGTTATGCTGATGAGGCAGGTTCAGTGTAGGCTGTGCCTTGAGTCAATCTCTTTGGAGACATAAAAGAGACTAAACAAGCAAGCTAGCAAGCAGAGACGGGGGAAGACTGATGCCAAGCCACATGGAGACCTCCAAGGAACCAGGAAACAAGCTGAAGAGACAAGCACCTTCCTCCAGAGCCGACAGAGAGAAAGTCTTCCCCTAGAGCCAGCACCCTGAACTTGGACTTCTAGCCTCCTAAACTGTGAGAAAATTAATTTCTGTTTGTTAAAGCCACCCATTTGTGGTATTTCTGTAACAGCAGCACTAGATAACCAAGACACTCACGCAGTTAGAGCACCCCAGAATCTCCCATGCCAGCCTGTGCCAGGCCCCAGGACAGACCTTACTGGGCTGCAGATCTGGGCAGCAGGCACTACTGACCTCCCCGCCCCAGGTCTGTGTGTTCACAGTGTGACTGTGGAGCCAGGGGAGCCAGTGCCCATCCACTCCAGGTGCAATTAGGGGGCCCGAATGCAACAGGAAGGGTCATTCGGGGAGCACTGGAGGCCAGTGGAGTGACCGGCCCTTGGGAATTGTGGGCCTCACTGGATCCCAAATTTGGCCTCTGCCCCACCCTCCACACAGCATCCTCATTGGAGCCCCACCTGTCCAGACCAGAATAGAGTCCCCCCCCACCAGCCCTGCTCAGCACCCAGTGCAGGCCCACAGTGGCGTGGCCAGGATGGCCAGCCTGGGGTGGGCTTTGCTCTACAGCAACTCCAGGGCAACTCTGGAGCAAATGGCGTGGGTGGGAGTCTACCTGAGGGCCCGGGGGTCCTGCTGGGCCAGGGGGATGTCAGCTGAGAGGCTCCTGGCTCCAGGGTTGGTGCTGAGCCCCCGCGGCTGGGCGTGGCTGGTGAGGGGGAGGTGCTGGCTCCCGTGCTGGGAGACCCCCCAGGTGTGGGCGAGGCAGGTGGCCTCAGAGTCGTGCCTGAGGGTGGGTGTGGGCCAGTGCCCCCCGCAGAGCTGGTCGTGGAGGGCCCCTGAGAGGGCCCGGGGGGCCTGGGGCCTTCCGATGGGGCACCGCCCGAGGGTCCCTGAGAGGGCCCGGGGGGCCTGGGGCCTTCCGATGGGGCAGCGCCCGAGGGTCCCTGAGAGGGCCCGGGGGGCCTGGTGACTTCCGATGGGGCACTGCTTGAGGGTCCAGTTGTCCTTCCAACCTCTGAGGATGGAGGGGTGCTGGGGGGGCCTGGGGGCCGGGGACAGTGTTTGGGCTTGCCTCAGCCCCCAGATACGTCTCCCTCGGCAGGATCCACACCGCCTGGTGCAAGAAGTCCCTCCCTGAGCCATCACCTGGGGGCTCACCTGGGGGGAGGGTCTCCTCTTCCTTAACTTGTATCTCGACGACTGTGGTCGCTGTGAGGGATGTCATTGTGTTCTTGGCCTCAACCTAGGTGGGAAGGCAGCTCGTCCTCCTTATACCCCGCCTTACCCGCCAGCCCCTCCAGACCAGCCTACCAGCCCCTTACCTCTGCATAGAAGACCTCCACATTCTCCAGCGCGACTGTGGTCAGCAGGACTTCCCCTTCCATACTGAAGTATGAGTGGTTGGTGATTCTATACGTGAGGGCCTGGATATGGGGAGCCGAAGGGGTCCTGGTCCAGGGGCCATCAGGGGCCCGGCTGCCCCCCAAACACACGCACGCATGCATGCATGCACACACAGGCACACACGCGTGCACACGTGTACATGAGCACACACACAGGCAGACCCCAGGGCCCGGCAAGGCCTTGGATTCCTGGGCAGGCAGAAGGGGCCCTGGCCGGGCCCGGGTACCCTCACGGATGCTGCATACCGAGGAATCTAAGTTCTGGGCCCGGATCCTCAGAAGCTGAGAGGGGGTGGCTGCATCTTTGACGGCTGTACCAGCGCCTGAGCCGAGGGCCACGCTACCACGGTACAGGCTCTGGGAGAAGATTGGCGGGCTCCCAGGGTCTGCACGGGCCTCCACCGAGACCTGGGTCACTGAGTACCGGGCTAAGTCGGCCTGCTCGCCCTGGGGGGTGGGGGTGGGGAACAGCTGAGCAGCGAGCCTGGGCTTCTGCTGGGGAGGGCCATGCAGACCTGGCGAGACCCCCACCTGCAGCCCCGTGCTGGCACACACCTTGACCAGCAGCACGAAGGTGGTGGGGATGAGGACGTCCAAGACCATGGTGAGGTTGCCCGAGGACTCATTGATGGCGAATACGCCATCCTGGTTTCCTGGGGGGAGGCCGGCACTCAGCCCTGGTCCCCCCACCTAAAGTCCAGGGGCTCCCGGGCTCCCTCTGCCCTCGGTGGGTCCGGAATGGGGTCGGGGTGCTGCATGGAAAGAGGACCTGGAGGCGGGGCCAGGCCAGGAACTCACTCACCGTCCAAGATGCTGTAGATGATGGGCTGGTCGATGCCTCGGTCCCCGTCCACAGCGTAGATGGGCCCTGGACTCAGGGTGAGGGGATCTGGCTGTGGGGATGTGGGGGGAGGTGGCCTATATGGGTTGGTGCCGGTACCCAGGGAGGCCCTCCTTCTCCCCCTCAGCAGCTCTGAAGTAAAGCGACTGGGACCACCTGGGGCAGGGGCATGGGTGGGGTGGGGAGGGAGGCTGGTAGGGGGCCATGTGCACAGCCAACCTGGGACAGCCCCAGCTGTGTCCCAGCACGATCACCGATAGACCCCTTTCAGTCCTTACTAAGGAGTCCAAGTGCTCAAAGACGTTTGAATCAGCCTGGACTTGTGCACGCACTTACAGGGTGGGGACTTTCTCCCAAGGGTCTCCTTTCCACCTTTCCTGGCCCCCTGCCCAGGCCCCCCACTTGCCCATGTATGCCGTCTGCACGGGAGGCTGAGCTGCTGAGCTGCCCCCTCAGGAAAACCAGCGTGGCCCTTCCAGGTCCCTCGACGCCTCAGCGCCACCCGGGACAGCCGGGGACACCTACTTATTTCCATCTGGGATTCCAGAGGGGTTTGTCTGCCGCCACCACCACCACCACGTGGTGGCAAGATTGGTTGGTGAAGAAAGTCAGCATTTGTTTGATAATTACAACCGAGATAGCCGCACAGCACAGTCTGGGAGACCCAGGCCCCATCCCCTAGCCCAGTTCAGGCTTTCCTCGACCCCATCCTCAGCCCTGCCCTTGACCCCAACTCTCCCTGACGTACCCAGACCTGACTCCAAGTCTAAGCTACCTAGAAGAGCCCCCAGCCATGCCTCGGTGGGTTGCCCCCTCCTCATTACCGGTATTTGTCCTATGGTGATAGCCCCTTGGTACTGGGCTTGGATGCAGGTGTAATTGTCTGAGTAGGCGCAGGGCAGGAACCAGGGGGGACGCAAGTCGGCTGGCAGGACATTCAGGGTCAGCGTGGCCATGGCCGTGTGGCTGGGCACCACGTTCTCCTGCTCCGTGTCCTGTAACAGCCATCCTGCACTGGGTCAGGCCCGGGCCAGGGTGGAGGCAGCTCCAATGGGGACTTGAGTGTCCGGGACTCAGGGCGGGAGGGTGGTCTGCTCACCCGCACCAGCAGCTGGAAGGTCATGTTTTGATCTCTGTAGAAGTCCAGTTGCTTGTCCAGCCTCAGGGCGGGGCGGTTTGTGCCCACCAGGGAGAAGAAGTCATTGGCACCCTGGCAAGGGGAGAGCACAGCCTGAGACCCTGGGAGGAGGTGGAGAGGCTGGGTCATCAGCCGTGAGGGTTAGTGTTGGGGCAAGGGTTGGAAGACACTGACTGGGGTGACTTCCTGGAGGGTATAGAACAAGATGTCATCTTTGTCACCATCCTGGGCCTCGAGGTCTGTCTCTGGGATGACAATGGAGTTCACCTTGGTGTCCTAGGGGACGAAGAGGGGGCTTGTTGCTGCCACATTCATGCCACCGTGGACCAAGCCCTGTGGTCAAGCCCTAGCCCCTAACCCAGGCTCCCAGTGCCCCTGTGCCCCGTCCACCTGGCACCTAGCCACGGCCCCACTGCAGCTCACCTCACTCACGTTCACGACCTTGGTGGTAAAGGGAAAGATGGGGGGGTTGTCATTGATGTCCAGCACAGACACGAACACCCTCAGCTGGGTCACCTGGAGGTGGCAAGGAGGGGCATCAGCCATCTCCCCATGGATGCTCACCCCAGTCATGGAGATGTGCTCTGAGGGCCCCTGCTCATCCCTCCCTGCCTCCATCCATCCCTCCATCCACCCCTCCATCCATCCCTTCCCCATCCATCCTTCCCTCTTTCCCTCCATTCCTCCCTCCTTCCCTACACCCATCCCTCTCTCCCTCCATCCATCCACCCCCCTCCATTCTTCCCTCCCTCCCTCTATCCCTCCTTCTTTCCCTCCTTCCTCTATCCATCTATCCATTCAACAACAACTGACTGGGGGTCAGCTAGGGGGCAGGTACAGTTCCAGGTGCCGGGACAATGTGATCAAAAGAGACAGAGCCCTCTCCCGTGTTCTAGCTTTTGTGCAGGGACTCATAAATGAAGCAAAAAAAAAAAAAAAAAAAGTAATTGACAAAGTAGAAGGTGGCCAGTGCTCAGGAGAATAAAGGAAGATAGTCAGCAGAATCTCAAATGAGGAAACAAATGAGTTTCTTCAAAAAGAAGCTGCGAAGAGAAAAGGGACACTTTATATTCAAAGAGACTTAAGAGAACAACCAACCAGTGGCATTATAGGGACCTTAGACACAGATCCAAAAAGAACCTTGTGAAAAGAGCCGTCTGAGATGACTCAGGGCTAGTGACGGGTGGTGAAGGGGTGAGGGGGTGGTGAGGAGTGGTGAGAGGTGGTGGGGTGATGAGGGATGATGAAGGCTGATGGTGGCTGGGCTGGAGCAGAGTATGGAGGGCGGGGCTGGGGTAGGGTGGGCATCACTAGCATTGAAAACACTCCACTGCAAGGTCAGCTGGGAGAGACCCTGCACAGAGCCCAAGCCTCAGGCCCGAGCAGAGCGGGTGGGCAGGGAGGGAGGGGGAGGGGTGAGTGTGGAGGTGCTCACCACTGTGTCTCCCCGCCTGCACTCCAGCTGTGCCTGCAGCAACCTACTGTTCTGTGGACGGAGATGAGGCGTCAGGATTACCTGCTCAGCTGGCCAGAGCCCATGGTGCCCATTTCACAGAAGGGGAGATCGAGGCTGAGGGGGCCCAATGCTCACCTGGGTCTCTGTCACTGCTGGTAAGTCCAAGGGGCACCTGGGGCCCAGGTAGCTCCCACCCCAAGGGGCTCCAGCCCCCTCAGGACTCACGGGGGAAGCAGGGCCCGAGCTCCCTGGACAGCCCTTCCCTGAGGAGGTGGTGGGTGCCAGCGCGGGTCCCAGAGGGTCAGTGCTCCCAGCCGCCTCCCCCCCACACCCCGGCCTGTACCTCGTAGTCGGGAATCACGATGAGAAACAGCTGGTTGTTACGGATCTGAAAGGTGGACGGGGTGGACAAAGACCCGAGCGTCACCTGCTGGTCCTCAGGGACGTAGATGTCCACCAGGGGCTTGGTGACATTCTCGTTTTCCTTGACTTCAATGAAGGTCTGGTTCACGGAACAGGCTGGATGGTGTAGGGGGAGTTGGTGTCTCTCGGCCCACAGCCCCAGCCCCCAGCGCCCTGCCCTCTGTTGCTCCCACCTCTGTCTGCAGCTCCTGACCCCCGCCCCTATACCTCGGGACTGGCCTGCCACTTCTGCGCCTCCCCCCACCCCCCCACCCCGCCTACCCTGGGCCTGGGCCCCTGGAGCTCGGCCCAGCAGCTCTACAAGAAGCAGCGGCAGCAGCAGGGGCGGCCACAGCCGGGCTCCCTCTCCCATCCTGGCGACCGCGGCCTCCTTCCAGGCTCTGGGCGTCAGGACCCTTTGGACAGCCTGCCAGCACAGGCGCATTTCCTGCCTGGCGACCTTCGCCCCTGCCAGGCACCGCCCCACTTTATGGTCCTTTACGACCGGCCTCCGCCAGGGGGGCTCCTGCCAGCCGGTCAGCTGGGCCGCCGAAGGAGGACCCGGGTGGGCACTATCCCCAGCGAGGGGTCTGGAGACAACCACTCACAGATGCTCAGAATGCTGCTTTGGGGGTACTGTGGGCCTGGGAGGGGATTGGAGGGGTACTGGAGCAGGGACTGGGACATAGGTGTACTGGGGTGGGGACAGGTGGAGTGGGGCTAGGAGAGTGTCCTGGGCCAGGAGGGGAGTTACTGGGCTGGGACTGGGGCAGAAGCAGGGTCTGGGGCCAGGAGGGGGTTGGGAGAGGGGGCTACTGGCAGGGGCAGGGGCCGGGCAGGGGCTGGGCCTGGGGCTGGGGCTGGGGCAGGAGCTGGGCTTGGCCCTTAGTCTCTGAGGGCTGTACTCCCTCTCCACCCCCTCCCTCCCTGCCCCAGGCTGACGGGTTGCACATCTCTACTCCTATTTCCTAGAACCTCCTTGGGGCAAAGTTCCTAAGGCAACCTGTGAGGTTCAGTCCCTGTGAGGTTCAGACCCAGGTGCTCTGCCCTGACCATACATCCCTTTCCGCCAGCCCTCCAGTCAGAAGGAAAAGGCTCTTTTGCGTGTCCCTGGCACACCTCTGCCTGTTTCTGGAAAAAAGTCAGTTTTCTCCGGGCGGGGCAGGGCCCAAGAGATGGAGATGGAAATGTTCAGGGGGCAGCTCGGTGGAGACCCCTCCCACACGCCTGGCTCCTGACAGAGGGGGTGTTATGGATTAAATAGTGTCCCCCAAAAATATGTATTGTAAATCCTAACCTCTATGCCTGGGGTTGTAATCCCATTTGGGAATGGGTTGTCTTTGTTATGTTAATGAGGCAGGATTAGTGTAGGGTTTGAGTCAAGCTCTTTTGAGATATGAAAGATTAAACAAGCAAGCCAATGAAGCAGAGATGGGGGAAGAGAGATGCCAAGCCACATGAAGATCGCCCAGGAGCAGAAGCTCAGAAGGGACAAGGACCTTCCTCCAGAGCTGACAGAGAGAGAAAGCCTTCCCCTAGAGCTGGTGCCCTGAATTGGGACTTCTCGCCCCCTAAACTGTGAGAAAATAAATTTCTGTTTGCCAAAGCAACCCCTTGTGGTATTTCTGTTATAGCAGTACTAGATAACTGAGACAGAAGGGTCATGGGGAGGCCCGTTCCCAGCCCTCTGCCCTACCACTATGGGGAGTTACTGTCCTCGGCCCCTCCTGCCCCACATATATCTCTCCTTGGCCTCTCCGCCCCCCTCCCAGTCCAGGAACCCTTGTCCAAGGACGGCAGCTGGGGAGAAGCCCCTGCATAGGGTCAGGAGAGGGACAGGCTGTTGTAACGGGCCAAGCCAGGAATATTCTCCCCCAGCCCAGCGCCTCTCTGCCAGTGCTTCCATTTCCTGGCCTCATCTGTACCCATGCCCACACTGTCATCTGGAGGTGGCATTGTAGTCCCTGCTTCACAGGCTCCGTGTGGTCCAGCCACAGGCCCGAGACCACGCAGCCTGGCCACTTACAGCCCAGATGTCCAGTCCAGTCCCCTCATTCTGGAGCCAGGCTCTGGTCCTCCTGGGTAACACTCCACCTGACACCCCGTCCTGCTGGCCCAGACCCCGACCTCTCACTGCATACACACTGACCACATAGTCCTTGGGGGGAATGTTAGCTGAGTGGTTGGACACGGGGTGCAGGCAGGTCACCTCTCCCAGGAGGTGGCGCCGATGTCAAGATAAAGAAAGGGGAAGGAGACGCCCTGGCTGGCCAGGTCCCAAGTTTAAAGGGCAGCCAGGCGTGGCCACTGTCCTCAAAGTGGTGGAGCTGGGGGCCTGCTTCCATCTGACAGATGTCCCCTCCTCTCCTGTCAGGGCTGCCTCAATGGCCTGAGACGGCGCGCACAGTGGGCTCGTGGGGCCAGGGTCTGAATTCCTTCTTTATTGGTGCCGAGTATAACCCCTCCCTGCCCCCGGGGTCAGGCTCAGGCTCCAGGTCCCAGGCCCGTGGAAAAGCACCTCCCTCCTTTAGCTTCATCTAGGCTGCCAGGACCGTTCAGCTGCCGCGGTGTCTCGCTGCAAAACCCTGACTCCGGACCTGGGCCCTGCAGGCAGCCCAGCCTGGGCCCAGGCCGGATCCAGGGGCGTCCTCAGGGGCGTCCTGTAGAGAGGAGCCAGTGAACAGGGGGCTGGAAACCCCCCACCGGGTGAAACTGGGGCTCCTCCGGTCAGCTTCATGCCACCCCCACTGCCACTTCCAGCTCCTGCTGCTGGGGCCGCTGGGGGGCTGCTGGGAAGGGAGGGAGGAAGGAAGGAGGGAGGGTCTGGCAGGAGCTGAGGGCGGGGCTGAGCTCACCAGGCCTGCAGGGCGGGCGGGTTGGACCAAAGCTGACAGGGTCGGCCCTCCAAGGTCTGGGCCTGAGCAGTGATGTTCTCTGGGTCCTGCTCACTGACCCCGCCCCCCCATCAGAATTAGTCCTGGAGTAGGGGGATCAGACATTGCTGAAGTGGGGCAGGGGTAAGGCAGGGCGTGTCCCACATGGGGTGCCCTGCCCCCCTCCCTGGCTCTGGAAGGCCCCTCCCCTCTCCCCTCCCCTGCTCCGGGGGGCCCTGCCCGCCCTCCGCGCTCACCTGCGCTTTCCCACCAGATCCTGGAGCAGCCGCTGTAGGCGAGCGTTGTCCCGCAGGCGGCTCAGCTCGCTTGTGAACGTCCCATCTGAGTGTCGCAGGGCCCTGGGGAGGACGCAGGGCCGGGTCAGCACCGCCAGGGGCTCCCGACGGGCCGTACATCTCCCGGCCAGGAGGGGGCGGTGGGGCGGCGCAGGCTCGGGCGGTGGGTTCGTCTGGCGGCGCGGGCTCACCTGGGGGGCGCGGGGCGCGCGGCGGAGGCCCGGAGCAGAGGCAGCAGCAGCAGCAGCAGGAGCGCAACGGGCAGCGGGGAGGCCATGGCGGTCGCCGGGCTGTGCTGAGCGCTCACAGCCTGGTCCGGAGTGCTGCGCCTCCCCTTTATAGCCCCCAGGGCCGGGCGTGGGGTGGGGGGGCCTGGAGGGGCTTCCGCCCAGGCTCCGACCTGCCCGGGCCTCATTGATCGTTCCGGAAGGTCAGGGCCACCCCCCAGCTGTCGACTGGCGGCCGCCTGTCCTCTCCGCCACATCTGCGCTCCTCAGCGGGCTGGGGCGGGGGGAGTCCACGGGGCGCCGACCAGCGGGCGGCAGGGTCCGGGGGGCGTCTTCACCCGCCGAGTCAGGAGGGTCCAGGAGGGAGGAGAGACGGCCGTCTGTAAGCTCGCCGCGAGTGGTCCAGGCCGCGGGAACAGCCAGTGCAAAGCCTCTGAGCCGCGACCGGGTGCGCTAGGGCGGCAGGAGCAGAGCCGAGTGTGGGGGACCAGAGGGGGCAGCTGGGCGGGCAGAGGCGCCCGGGGTCTGGAGGTGGGCCCGGAGGGGAATGGTGGACAACTGAAGGTGCCCAGGGCGGCTGGGTCAAGGCTGGGACGGAGAAGGGAAAGCGTCAGGATGCTGCGGGTGGCCCCAGAGAGGCTCCTGCAGGAGAGTGGGCGAGGCTACCAGACGCGGATGGGGTCGGCGTAGGCGAGGACCCGGTGACCTCCCCGCCAGACGCTGTGCAGGGGCAGGGGAGTGAGCGCAAGGGAGGGAGAGAGGCCGGATGACAGGTGGGACGCGGAGTCGCGGGGAGCTGAGGATTACATCTGCTCCATGGGGCTTTTCATTTTATTTGTCCAGGTGGGAGAGACCTGAGCCTATGGAAGGCTGGGGCTGGAGGCGGAGATGCGAAAGAGGGGAAAGAGAGGCTGGGCCGGGGTGGGGGTGGGGGCGCCCGCTGCGTCACTCATGCTTTAATCAATGCGGGAGTCATTCACGTTGGATTCTTAACAGCTTGTTGTCATGAAGTCCTTAAATACAGTTTACAAATCCAGGAAAACCAAACCTGTTGAGGCCATCCGACTCGTGATGGCGGTAGAACTGCCCCGTAGGGTTTCCAAGGAGCGGCTGGTGGATTTGAACTGCCGACCTTCCAGTTAGCAGCGGCCGCTCTTAACCGCTACACCACTAGTGTTTCCGGAACGCTAACGCGTTAAACTAGCGGCTCTTGTGTTAAACTTTACAGGCATTTTTAAGCAGCTGCTGTGGCTTGTTCTTTTCCGAAACTGGCGGATTAGAATCCCTAACACTGTAATTAATTATTGAGGGAATAATTACCTTCGCCTTCATGTAGACAATCCAAACTCCAAACGCCAATTTTATCTGCTTCCATAGCACCTCAAATCTTAAGTAACCAGGCAGATCTTGATAAGAAATATCTTAACTTTTTTTTTTTAAGTTAACCAAGTTAACAGACAGTACTTCCACGGGTCTGGCAGTTTGTCATACTGTGGTGGCTGGAGTGTTGCTGTGATACTGGAAGCTTCGCCACTGGTGTTTCAAATACCAGGGCTTTCACCCTTGGTGGACAGGTTTCAGCGGAGATTCCAGGCTAAGAGTAGGAAGAAGGAGCTAGCAGTACACTTTTGAAAAAATTGGCCAGTGAAAACCTTATGAATAGCAGTGGAACATTGTCTGATATAGTGCGGGGAGATGAGTCCCTCAGGTTGGAAGGCACTCAAAAGATGACTGGGGAAGAGCTGCCTCCTCAAAGTAGAGTCAACCTTAGTGACGTGGATGGAGTCAAGCTTTCATTTGCTGATGTGGCACAACTCAAAATGAGAAGAAACAGCTGCAAACATTCATTAATAACTGGAATGTGGAATATAGGAAGTATGAATCTAGGAAAATTGGAAATCATCAAAAATGAAATGGAACACATAAAGATTAATATCCTAGGTAGTACAGAGCTGAAATGGACTGGTATTGCCCATTTTGAGTCAGACAATCATATGGTCTACTATGCAAGAATGAAAAATTCACATCCTAGGTGAAAGGTGATTTTGCAGATGTAATTAAAGTTCCTGTTATGGATTGAATTGTGTCTCTAAAAAACAGGTGTTGAAATCCTAACCCCTATACCTGTGGATAGGACCCCATTTGGGAATAGGGTTTTCTTTGCTGTGTAAATGAGGCCATTGTGTAGGGTATATCTTAAACCTACTTGCTTTTGAGATAGAAAAAGAGCAGACTAGGCAAAGAGAAGCAAACACAAATGAGGGAAGGATAGACGTAGCATGGAGATCACCAAGGAACGCTGAGAAGAACACTAGATACGCTGAGACAAGAATTTTCTCCCAGAGTGGACAGAGAGAGCTTCCCTAGAGCCAATGCCTTGAATTCTAGCCTCCTAAACTGTGAGAAAATAAATTTCTGTTCATTGTCAAAAGAACATTGCAATATCTACCCTGAAGTACAACGCTGTCTGTGATGGGATAATGTCCATATGCCTACAAGCCCAGCTAATACGACTATTATTCAAATTTATGCACCAACCGCTAAGGCCAAAGACAAAGAAATTGAAGATTTTTACCAACATCTTCAGTCTAAAATTGATCAAACATGCAATCAAGATGCATTGATCATTACTGGTGATTAGAATGGGAAAGTTGGAAACAGAAGAAGGATTGGTAGCTGGAAAATATGGCCTTGGTGATAGAAATGATGCTGGAGATCCCATGATATAATTTTGCAAGACCAATGATTTCTTCATTGCAAATACCTTTTTTCAGCAACGTAAATGGTGACTATACACGTGGACCTTGCCAGATGGAATACACAGGAATCAAATTGACTACATCTGTGGAAAGAGACAATGGAAAAGCTCAATATCATCAGTCAGAATGAGGCCAGGGCTGACTGTGGAACAAACTATCACCTGCTCAATATGCAAGTTCAAGCTGAAGCTGAAGAAAATTAAAATGAGTCCAAGAGAGCCAAAATATGACCTTGAGTATATCCCACCTGAATTTAGAGACCATCTCAAGAATAGATTTGATGCATTGAACACTAACGAAAGAAGACCAGTTGAGTTGTTGGAAGACATCAAGGACATCATACATGAAGAAAGCAAAGGTCATTAAAAAGAAAGAAAAGACCAAAATGGATATCAGAAGAGACTCTGAAACTTGCTCTTGAACATAGAGTAGCTAAAGCAAAAGGAATAAATGATGAAGTAAAAGAGCTGAACAGAAGATATCAGACGGCAGCTCACGAAGACAAAGTAAAATATTATAATGTAATGTGCAAAGACCTGGACTTAGAAAACCAAAAGGAAAGAGCACAACTGACATTTCTCAAACTGAAAGAACTGAAGAAAAAATTCAAGAATCGAGTTGCAATTTTGGAAGATTCTATGGGCAAAATATTGAATGACCCAGAAAGCATCAAAAGAAGATGGAAGGAATACACAGAGTCATAGTACCAAAAAGAATTGGTCAACGTTCAAACATTTCAGGAGACAGCATATGATCAAGAACCGATGGTACTGAAGGAAGAAGTCCAAGCTGCACTGAAGGTATTGGGAAAAAACAAGGCTTCAGGAATTGACAGAATACCAGTTGAGATGTTTCAACAAAGGGATGCAGTGCTGGAGGTGCTCACTCGTCTATGCCAAGAAATTTGGAAGACAGCTACCTGGCCAACCAACTGGAAAAGATCCATTTTTGTGCCCATTCCAAAGAAAAGTGATCCAACTGAATGCGGAAATTATCAAACAATATCATTAATATTACATGCAAGCAAAATTTTGCAGAAGATCATTCAAAGGCAGTTGCAGCAGTACATCAACAGGAAACTGCCAGAAATTCAAGATAGATTCAGATGAGGACATGGAACAAGGCATGTCACTGCTGATGTCAGATGGATCTTGTCTGAAAGCAAAGAGTACCAGAAAGATGCTTACCTGTGTTTCATTGATTGTGCAAAGGCATTCGACTGTGTGGATCATAAAAATTATGGATAATATTGCAAAGAATGGGAATCCCAGAACACTTAATTGTGCTCATGCGGAACCAGTTCATAGACCAAGAGAGAGTCGTTGTAACAGAACAAGGGAATATTGTGTGGTTTAAAATCAAGAAAAGTGTGCATCAGGATTGTATCCTTTCACCATAACTATTTAATCTGTATGCCGAGCAAATAATCTGAGAACCTGGACTATATGAAGAAGAACATGGCATCAGGATTGGTAGGAAGACTCATTAACAACCTGCATATGCAGATGACACAACCTTGCTTACTGAAAGTGAAGATGACTTAAAGCACTTACTGATGAAGATCAAAGACTACAGCCTTCAGTATAAACTACACCTCAATATAAAGAAAACAAAAATGCTCACAACTGGATCAATAAGCAACATCATGATATACGGAGAAAAGATTGAAGTTGTCAAGGATTTCATTTTACTTGGATCCACAATCAATACCCATGGAAACAGCAGTCAAGAAATCAAATGACATATTGCATTGGGCAAATGGGCTGCAAAAGATGTCTTGGAAGTGTTGAAAATCAACGATGTCACTTTGAAGACTAAGGTGTGCCTGACCCAAGCCATGGTATTTTCAATCACCTCATATGTATGTTAAAGCTGGACAATGAATAAGGAAGACCAAAGAAGAATTGACGCATTTGAATTATGATGTTGTCGAAGAATATTGAATATACCATGGACTGCCAGAAGAACGAACAAATTTGTCTTGGAAGAAGTACAGCCAGAGTGCTCCTTGGAAGAGAAGATGGCAAGACTTCATCTCATGTACTTTGGACATGTTATCACGAGGGAGCAATCCCTGGAGAAGGACATCATGCTTGGTAAAGTACAGGGTCAGCAAAAAAGAGGAAGACCCTCAACGAGATGGATTAACACAGTGGCTGCAACAATGGACTCAAGCATAACAATGATTGTGAGGATGGCACAGGACGGGGCAGTGTTTCGTTCTGTTTTACATAGGGTCGCTATGAGTGGGAACCACCTCAACTGTACCTAACAACAACAACATTGCATACACAACTCAGAATCTAAGGGTATTATGCTGAGTGGGGAAAAAGCCAATCGCAAAAGGTCATACCCTGTATGATTCCACTTATAGAACATGCTCAACATGACAAAATGATGACGATGTCAAACAGGTCAGAGGGTGCTGGGGGTTGAGATGTTAGGGAGGGTGTAACTTTAAGGGGTGCAGGAGGGTTATCTTTGTAGTGATTGAAGAG